AAAAAAAAAAAAAAAAAAAAAAAAAATGCATAACATCACAATCCCCTCCAACCGAGAAAGGAATATGTACAGGAACAGTGACAAATATGATTCACATACCTCACGAGCCTTAGCTGTCTCATAATCATCATAAAGTTCCGCATCAACACGTTCTCGATCAACCAGACCAATCATAGAATTAAACTTGGTTTTCAATATCTCTTCACTGCATTGCAAAACTTCCACGGAACATCACATATCTCAACCAATTGGATTTGCATAGTTTGGCATTAATATGCAATTTTTAGTACAAGGTTTTTAGTTCTGTTCATGCGAACTTAGACTTACATAGTAATTTCTACCACGGGAAGCTCAGATATAGACTCTGCAGAATCAAGGGAATTTTCCACAAGCTCCCTCACGGTAGTGTAGAGGCTCTTCCCAGGCTGACAATTCATAGAAGATCTCCAAATATCAATAACAGTAAAAATCCAAATTGCAGACAAGAATACTCCAAGCTAGCATCCTAACTTCTTTCCAATACATAATGTGATAAGCATTTTATGCAAAAAAGGTCGAAAATCAACGTCTAGCTAGTAATTCATTACTTGCTTCGTCCGTCGCGATAACTTTTATACATCCACGGTTCTCACATTGAATTATATCAAGAAATGCGACTACATTTCACCTCGATTAAGCTGAGCGATTCCTAGTCTAAAACTAACCCGTAAAAGACACTCATAGTAGGAAAAGAACATAGAGGGGGGGAAAAAAGCTGAATGCAGCTCACATTATCAAACCCAGCAATGTTCTTGTTCTCCGCAAAGAACTCAGCTGGTGATTCTGCAAAGTGGAACAAAATTCAATCAAATTAGTAAAAGAACAAAGCAAAATTACATTCCAGTAGAGGAAAAGAGAGCGAAGATACTTTGCTTGAGGATGCTTTCTTTGGGCTTCCTGGGTGTTTTTGATTTGCCCTTCTTAGGTTCATCGGGACTTTCAGAGCCACCTCCAATCTCCATCCACTAAGAAGATCCTATTCGACGGAGGAAGTACTGTTCCAAATTCCAACTCCAACAGTTAGCTAACTGGAACTGCAATCCAAAATTCTAGTCTGATCTATGTTTCTTAAATCTTACACACAAAATTTTCAGCCTCGGTTTGAAATTCAGTGAGAGAGCATCATCTAGGGTAAGCGAGCGGGAACCATCTATGCAGCCACGCAGCTAGCAAGTCTTCTTCGAGTCGATACAGTACAATCACCTGTATTGCGGGTGATGCTACTTCGCGCTTGCAAGTTACCCTTTTTCTCTTTCTCTCTGTCTATGGGCCATATGATGTTGACACGTGTTCCCATAAGTGAAATTATAAACAACGGATGGTTCAGATCAAGAAATTGCTCAGACTTAGCCGTTTACTACAAATATTACAGTTTGACTCCCGCCAAACTTCGAGGAAGAAATGGCCGGGCCCTTCGCAAGTACAGATCTTATTGGTCCACTTGGCAGGTCTTTTCACAATTCTAGACAAAAACAATAGTAACGACCGCACCAGAAAATTTAGGTTAGTTTTTAGTATAATTTATTTTCCCTATTTTCAAATTTAATTAAATTTCTTAATATGTTTCCGAATAACAAGGTGAAAACATAAATTTCACCATACAGTTAATTTAAAGTTAACTTTATAAAAAATATTAAATCTATATTCATAATAATAAATTCATTTGATTTTAATTATTAACCGTTGATTTTATTTTTTTGAGTTTCCCAAGGTTAACCAAAGGATGGGAGGTAATGGGCAAAGGCTTCCTTTATTTTTGGACATTTCCAAATATAGTGCGACCGCATCAGGAACTTTTTTGCACGATTAAAATGTCGTTTTTTAAAAATAAAAAATAAAAAATGCTCGTAATTTTAATTTTTTTTTAAAAAATAATTACAAACATTCGAATACTATCTCAAAACTTTTTATTAAATACTTATATGTTTATTGAATTCTTATCCACATTTATCCACGTTAATTAAATAATTTCACTTGAGTATAAAAATAATTATTTAATTTTAGATCTAATCACTCGTGCAAGTGGCTCAATTGATTTAATTGTTTGGATAAGTGAGTATATACTATTAATATTTGTAATGTAATAAAATAAATCATACACATGTTGCATCGACTTTCGAATCCGTTAATAATATGTGTAGGGAAGAAATCCAAACTTAATTTTAGAAAGAAAAAAAATGGTGTACCAGTTATTATGATGATATTAGAGAATCTAAATTCTAACACACCTTTAGAATGATGACGCTTCTCAATCAAGAAAGTCGGGTTGTACCTTAGCCACATTAGACACCTTAATTTGATTTTCATCTGCATTCGCCTCTTCCTTTGTTTGTTTTTCCTCCATTCACAAAAGACCCATGAGAGATCATCGAAAGTAAATAGAACATCATTTGAATCCCTCAAACTACCTTGGTGGACGTCTCTTCATCCACAAATGACGTTCTTGGTTAGAATTATCTCTCTTTAGGGCATGTCGTGATCCACTCCCCTCTTGTTTGTTCTCAATGTACGTGTATAAGTTTTTTGGTCAAACACTCTATAAATCCTCATAGACCGCGCTAACTCTTGATACAAAAACCAAAGCAAAGGAACACACTTGCCATGTGGTGATTGAATAGTGGATTCGTAATTTGAGAGAAAGAAGTAGCCGAAAAAATAAAGAAAATTGCTTATCGACGCGATGTAATTTGCCACGCGTACTCTCATTCTTAAGTCGTATATTAATTTATTTGTGAAATAAATATTATAAAAAATTGAAGAAGAAAGATGCATGGTGGCTCTGACTATATAATCAAAATAATGGCAATGAGACGTATAGAAAGAGGGAGACGACAAATATGGTCACCGTTGGTTCAGTATTCCAACGCCAATATGGATATGGTCACTGGCTATTCAGATTTGGGTAATCCATATGGACTGCTGCCTTTTATATTTTATTTTATTAAATTATTCACACCACTGCCATTAAATCGCGCCCACTCACAAACCTAAAATCTGGATGAGTATTAAACACAATTTGAATGATGAAAGTCTCACGTCCGTTAATTTGGAGAAGGATCATGGGTTTATAAAGAAAGAATATTTTCTCCATTCGTATGAAACATTTTGAGGAAACACAAATCAAAGTCATGGGAGTTTATGCTTAAAGTGGACAATACCATACTATTGTGAGTCGTGTTCGTCTAACAATAAATATTCATATTGTTTAACGAACATAAGTATTTTATATATATATATATAATAATAATAATAAGCTCGTGACCTAAAAGCATTAAAAAAAAAGTGTCAAATATACCCTTGGTATGGTCTCTTGATTTAAATATCCATATACTCCGACAAAACTTTGGAGTACTAAACAAATATGTGTATATGTATATTAATATATATTATCTAAAATAATAATTTAATACTAAAGAAGATGACGGATAAGTCTCGTGATGCATGTGTATGAACTATTTTGTTTTTTTGGGACCTTAATTTTTTTTTGTGGACTATGTTTTATCACGATGTAAATATTACTTAAAATGAGTTTAAATTCTCATATCTTATATATTAATACCAATCGAGAAGAGATTACATGATGTTGAGGATTATTGGGAGTGAGTCCCACGTTGGCTAATTTAGTGGACGATCATGGATTTATAAGTGAGGAATACTATCTCTTTTGGTACGAGCGCTTATGGTCAAGGTGGACAATATCATACCAGTGTGAAGAGTCGTGATTACTAACCCATGACACTCTATAATATATCTTATTTTTTTAACCTATGGGAATGGGATAAAATATAGAAGTTAGTGGAGGGCAACACCGTAATTTAAAGCACCAACTACGTGATGCTTTTTTCTATATAAAGGCCTCGAATTGCATAGCCAAACTCACACCAATACACATACATATATTGATCTCTTTACTGTTTGAAAGAAAAGGAGGAAAAGATGTTGAAATCTCAAGGCGTTGGGTGTTCCACACGAGTGGCTCCGGCGACCCTCTGCCATCTGCAGAGGCCATCATTGGGTCGTGGCATCAACGCCGGAGTTTCTTTTCCTTTTTGGAACAATCCCGGGAATAAGCAGAAGGCCAAGAGCATCAGCAATGGCCGCCTTAGACTCGTGTCCCGTGAAATCAAAGCAGCCTTGACCACTGTCGCCGAACCCACCACCACCGTTCTCACAAAAGTCATTGTCAAGAAGATCACTGGAGAAATCACTTCGTCAACACTTCTCATGGAAAGCAAGGCCCTCGATAAGTTGCTCAAACTCGAGTTCGCCAGCATACTCGTCGATCCCAGTAAGTTACACATCATTTATGCATGATCTTTGTTCATTTTGAGTTCATATTTCAAAAGAAAATTAACGGTTATAATCTTTTATAAAATTTTAGAAACTGGGTTGGAGAAGCCGCCGATTTCAGTTCAGGCAAAGCTGATTAGTGAAGACGTGTTGGAGGAAATTTACGAGGCGAGTTTGGAAGTTCCAGCAGATTTCGGAGATATAGGAGCTGTGATTGTTGAAAACCACAATGAAAAGGAGAAGTTCGTTAAAGAGGTTGAGCTCAATGGCCTTGCTTCCGGTCCCTTGATCGTCACCTGCAACTCATGGGTTCAACCCAAGACTCTGGTTCCCACCCAAAACAGAGTCTTCTTCACCGACAAGGTCTGACACCCCTTTCAACCCACTTAACCCATTTCCCTCACCATCTAACACAATTCCCCTTGTCTGGGCATAGTCATACTTGCCATCGCAGACGCCGGCTGGGCTTAGATCCATGAGGGAAACAGAGCTCGTCAATTTACGAGGCAATGGCACGGGAGAGCGTCAAAGTTACGACAGAATTTATGACTACGATGTGTACAATGACCTCGGAGATCCTGACAAAAGTGAAGATCTCAAAAGACCAGTTCTTGGTGGCACTGAACGCCCTTATCCTCGCCGTTGTAGAACCGGTCGTCCACCTACCAAAACAGGTACTATCACTTATACTAATTACAACAATAAACCAAACACTAATCTACCCATAATGCAGATCCAAATTCGGAGCAAAGGGCAACTGGAAGCATATACGTTCCACGAGACGAGACATTCTCTGATTTAAAGCAAGGAGTTTTCAATGCATCCACGCTATTGTCTGTGTTACGAGCAATCATACCCAGACTCCAAGTACATTTTGATCAAAACACTGGATTTCCCAACTTCAAGGCAGTCGATGCACTATTTGATGTTGATGGCTTCAATTTGCCGCCTCTTGAATCCACCACCTCTCTCAAAGATCTCTTACCTTGGATCTTCAAATTCCTCTCTGAGACTGGACAATTTCTCTTTCGCTTTCAATCTCCTGAACCCATGGACAGTGAGCGCACTCTGTTTTTCACTCTGTTTCTTCAACTTCTTGCTCTGTAATTATTCTTACGTTACGTTGATTACATGAACAGGGGACAAGTTTTTTTGGTTAAGAGATGAAGAATTTGCGAGGCAAACTCTTGCTGGCCTTAATCCATGCAGCATTCAATTGGTCAAGGTATGCATAAATCCCTCGGTAATCATCTCTAAGACCAGTAAAATCAATATAAACTCGAATAACGTTGTAGGAATGGCCATTGATGAGCCAACTCAATCCTGAAATCTATGGTCCTCCCGAGTCGGCATTCAACACCCAAATGATCGATAGAGAGATTGGCTCAATGACAGTTCAAGAGGTATGTGTGTGTGTGTTGTGAATTCATATTCATTCGCATCACCGCATTTGTAATAAGATGTATCCAAATGCACAAATGGGATGCAGGCAATTCAACAGAAAAAGCTGTTTATTTTGGATTACAATGACATGTTGTTGCCGTATGTGCGAAGAGTAAGAGCACTTAAAGGAACAACCCTTTATGGGTCAAGAACATTGTTTTTCCTAAATGAAGATGGGACGCTTAGGCCACTAGCTATTGAGCTAACACGACCACCAATGGACGGCAAACCTCAATGGAAGGGAGTTTATGGACCTAGTGAAAACGCCACTAACCTCTGGCTTTGGAGATTCGCCAAATCTCATGTTCTTGCCCATGATGCTGGTTATCACCAACTCGTCAGTCATTGGTAAATATCCCACTTAACTTTGGAGATTTGCAAGCCGTTTTCTCAATTGGTTGATGGTTTGTTTGTTTCACAGGTTAAGGACTCATTGTGCTGTGGAGCCTTATGTGATAGCCACAAATAGACAATTGAGTGCAATGCATCCAATCCACAGACTTTTAAATCCTCATTTTCGGTACACTATGGAGATCAATGCAGCTGCTCGTACCAATCTGATCAACGCAGGTGGGACAATCGAGAGCACATTCTCACCTCTCAAATATTCCATGGAGTTGAGTTCTACAGCTTATGATCTTCAATGGCAATTTGACTTGCAAGCCTTACCTGCTGATCTAATTCATAGGTAACCCAATTCAACATCTCTTGTTTTAATCAATTGACACACAAAACCTTACGCTTTTTTTGGCAGAGGATTGGCAGAGGAGGATCCAACTGCTTCACATGGTCTGAAATTGCACATCAAAGATTACCCTTTTGCTAATGATGGTTTGATCTTATGGGATGCTCTTAAACAATGGGTCACAGAGTATGTGAATCATTACTATCCAGACCCATCTCTTGTAGCATCCGACACAGAGCTTCAATCATGGTGGACTGAAATTAGAACTGTGGGTCACGCGGACAAACAAGACGAGCCATGGTGGCCGCTTCTCAACACGCCTCAGGACCTAATAGATATAGTCACAAACATTGCTTGGGTAGCATCAGCTCACCATGCAGCCGTGAACTTTGGGCAATATGCATATGCAGGGTACTTCCCAAGTAGGCCCAGTATAGCTAGAACGAACATGCCCACTGAAGATACAAACCCTGCACTTTGGAAAAGCTTCTTGGAAAAGCCAGAGGAGGTTCTTCTAAATGCCTTCCCTTCACAATATCAAGCAACACAGGTAATGTTAGTGTTGGATGTGCTGTCGAGTCACTCTCCGGATGAAGAATATCTTGGGAAGAATATGGAGCCATCATGGGGTGATAATCCTGCAATAAAGGCAGCATTTGATAGGTTTAACAAAAGGATGAAAGAATTGGAGTTGATAATCGATCACAGGAATGCTGATTTCAACTTGAAGAACAGAACAGGAGCTGGGGTTACCCCATATGAGCTTTTGAAGCCATTTTCAGGACCAGGAGTGACTGGAAAAGGAGTTCCATATAGTATTTCTATTTAATCAATGACGAATGTAGCAATTATGTACGAAGAACTCTGAAATAATGTAGCAATCAAGAGTTCAAAATAAATGTTGGTTGTTGTTTGAAGGAGTTTGCTCAAGCGAATCCCCACGCGCTCTCCAATTCTGCTATTATTGTTATATTTCAAGTAAAGACAAGACATTGGTACAACTTACCATACGTCAGAGTAGTTGCATTTCAAGTGTTGGGTTAGATTATGTCACGATTTTAGTTTGCGAAAATTGTGATGTGAGAGAATATTCTAAAGGAAAAGAAACAAAAACACCTACAAGTGTACTTGGCACGTGTTTATAGAGTTGTAGAGGATAATGACAATTTGGAAGGCAACCATGTTGTGGTTGTCGAAGAATATTTGTGTACTGTGTAGGACCTACTTATTTTGTTTGAAGCTTTCCACATTCTTTCACAATTATGATTTGGACTTCCTTTTATACCTCTGATTGGATCCACATTCATTTGAGTTCATCAGATTCATCTCTCTTATCTCCCTCTTCTGTGATCTTAAACTGCAAACCTCCCCATAAAAAATGTTGAGATCTCCAGTTTATTACTCACTTTCTAGTTCCTATCAAGTGCATTTGGTCCTTGGAAGGCCATATGGGATCAAACCATACACTACTCTAACTCGCTGCGCTCCTCCTTCTGTCGTTAAAGCCTCCGTCGACGCTCCGATGGACCATCCTCTTTCTGCTAAAGCTGTCGTTACGGTTCACCGACCCCTCCGTGGTTTGTCTCTGAACTTTGGAATAAAACAAAGGCTTCATGATATCACTGACTTGTGGGGCGCCAAGACACTTGTTTTGGAGCTTCTCAGTGCTGAAATTGATTCCAGTGAGCTAACTAACTCTCGCACTTTATATGGACCATTTATTATGTGCATGCATATGCAACTTTTTGGATTGTTCCCAATGATCGGTTAAGATGAAAAAATCGAACTCGTAGATGTATTCCTTACTTATAAATCATGATCATTTCCCTAATTTAGTCAACGTGAGACTCTCTCCCAACAATCTTCCCTTCGAACAAAGTACACTGTAGAGCCTTCCCTGATGCCTATGAAACCTCAAACAACCTCCCCTTAATTGAGGCTCGACTCCTTTTCTGGAGTCCTCAAACAAAGTACACAATTTGTTTTTGAGGCTCACAATTATTTGTTCGATATTTGAGGATTTTATTGACGTAACTAAGTTTAGAGCATGACTCTAATAACATGCTAGTAACCACAACTCTTTACAATCCTATGATAATGTTCCGTTTGAGTGTAAGTTGTCATGGTTTTGCTGTGGGATCTCTAAAAGGCCTTATATCAATGAAGATTAGCTTACGTGAAACTCCCACCCAACAATACTCAATTTGTACGTAGGGACGGGATTGGAGAAGGGAACAATAAAAGGGTACGCTGAGAGAGTAGATAGAGATGGGGACGATGTAATTACGTACGAGACAAAGTTCAAAGTCCCAGCAGAGTTTGGGTCAATTGGAGCTGTTCTGGTTGAGAATGAGCATAACCAAGAGCTGTTCCTCAAGGATATTGTGGTTTATGGCATTCCCACTGCCCCTCTTCGCTTCTCATGTAATTCTTGGCTCACCCCCAAATCTCAGAGCGATGATACCAGAATCTTCTTCACAACTAAGGTCAATTCTGAGCTTTCAGTCATATGCTGAATCTTTAGTTCACCTTGCTTAAAAGATAATGATGCTTAATCGTTTTCAGTCATACTTGCCGTCAAACACACCCAAGGGGCTGAAAAGGATAAGAGCAGAGGAGCTGAAGAAGTTACAAGGCAATGGATATGGAAAGCGGGAGACCCATCACAGGATATATGATTACGATGTCTACAATGATCTTGGCGATCCCGACAAGGGCGTCGAGTTCCAAAGACCAGTGCTTGGCGGTAAACAACATCCTTACCCTCGACGGTGTAGAACAGGACGAGCGCGTTGTCAAACAGGTTTCAACATCGTCTGATTCTTCCTGTTCTTAATTAGATTCTATATTAATTAATTAACCCAACAAATGTAGATTCGTTATCAGAAGTAAGAAGTTGGGACATTTATTTGCCTCGAGATGAAGCATTCTCACGAATAGAATATGTAAGGTTGCTGGGAAACACATTTTATTCGTTGTTAAATAGCCTCAAACTGGAGACGACAATTACAGACACCAAATTTTCTATAACTGAAGAACTCTCCAACTCCAACAAAGGGATTAAAGGCATTTGGAATTTCAATGCAATTCTTCCTAAGCTTTTTAGCTCTGTGGTTACTAAGGCTGTGGACATCCTTACCCTCCCTTCTTCTGAAACATTCGACAGTAAGAACCATAAGAACACTTAAAAACTTTCTCTACGGAACTATTTGCTTGTTTTTTAGCTCAATTGTCATAATTCTTCCTTTTTCAGAAGACAAATTCTTTTGGTTTAGAGATGAGGAATTTGCTAGGCAAACCCTTGCAGGTCTCAATCCATACAGTATAAGGCTCGTAAAGGTATGGTTAACCCCCACCCAAATTTCAATACTTCGCTCTTTTTCGGTTTTCTCTTTTGAACTTCTCCTCGAGGGTTTTAAAACGCGTTTACTAGAGAGAGGTTTCATACCCTTATATAGCGTATTTCGTTCTCCTCTTCAACCGATGTGGGATCTCACAATCCACCCCCCCTTCGGGGCCCAACGTCCTCGATGACACTCGTTCCTTTCTCCAATCGTTGTGGGACCCCACCAAATCTACCCCTTCCAGGGCCAGCGTTCTTGCTGGCACATCGCCTCATGTCCACTCTCTTTGGGGCTCAACGTCTTTGTTAGCACATCACCTCATGTTCACCCCCTTTTGAGGCTCAGCCTCCTCGCTGACACATCACTCGATGTCTAGCTCTGATACTATTTGTAACGGTCCAAGTCCACCCCGAGAAGATAAACACACAATAACTAACTAAAGAAATTTTGTGTAGGAATGGCCATTGAAGAGCCAGCTTGAACCAGATATTTATGGACCTCCTGAATCAGCCATTACTGATGAAATTGTTGAGCGTCAAATAAAAGGAGTCATGACTCTTGAAGAGGTACATGCCGCAAGACCGTTATATTACTTAGATTCATGATCATTTATAAAACAGGTGTTTAATGTTGTGGACATGCAGGCAGTGAAACAGAAGAAACTGTACATACTTGATTACCACGATCTCCTCGTACCATATGTAGCAAAGGTACGAAAGCTGAAAGGCAAGACATTATATGGTTCAAGAACATTGTTTTTCTTAAACCCAGACGGTACTTTAAGGCCACTAGCTATTGAGCTTAGTAGACCACCAATGGATGGAAAGGCACAATGGAAAGATGTTTTGACACCATGTTGGGATGCCACAGGGCTTTGGCTTTGGAAGATTGGCAAAGCTCATGTTCTTGCTCATGATTCTGGCCACCACCAGCTCGTTAGTCACTGGCTTAGAACACATTGTTGTGTAGAACCTTACATTATCGCTACACATAGACAACTAAGTGCAATGCATCCGATTTATAGACTCTTGCATCCCCATTTTCGATATACTATGGAGACCAATGCCATTGCTCGAAGCTCTCTTATTAACGAAGGAGGCATCATTGAGACCACATTCTCGCCTGGAAAATATTCTATGGAATTCAGTTCTCTAGCTTACCGGCAGCATTGGCAGTTCAACTTAGAAGCTTTGCCTGCAGACTTAATTCATAGGTACCAAAGATCCAACCAAATTATAATTCTAGTCTTTTATTTATTTATTTATTTATTTTGTTGAGATCCTATTTATAAGCCAGTAGAAGTGTTTTAAAACGAAGCTCGGTAGGGAAAGCCTAAAAAGGAGAACAATATCTGCTAGCGGTGGGTTTAGACGGTTACATATGGTATTAGAGCCAGACACAGGATGAGTGCTAGCAATGACGCTAGGCTCCGAAAGGGGTGGATTGTGAGATCCCACATCGGTTGGAGAGGGGAACAAAACACTCTTTTTAAGAGTGTAGAAACCTCTCCTAGTAGACGCGTTTTGGGGAAATGCCAAAGAGAACAATATGTGTACCATTTGCTTATTTGAATGACCCGTCTTGTTGTGTTCTCTAGGGGATTGGCTGTTGAAGACCCAAATGCTCCTCATGGTCTGAAGCTGAGTATTGAAGACTACCCTTATGCGAACGATGGGCTAATCCTTTGGGATGCCATCAAAGAATGGGCAATGGAATATGTGAATCACTACTATCCAGACCCAAGTGTTGTAAAATCAGACGAGGAGCTTCAAGCATGGTGGACAGAAATTAGAGAAGTAGGACATGGAGATAAAAAGGAGGAACCATGGTGGCCAGTCCTCGACACTCCTAAAGACCTCATTGATATTGTCACAACCATCATGTGGATTACGACAGGCCACCATGCCGTCGCAAACTTTGGACAATATTCCTTTGCAAAGTACTTTCCAAATCGGCCGAGTATTGCAAGAGCCAATGTGCCCACAGAACAACCTAAAAAACATTGGAAATACTTCCTTGAAAAGCCAGAAAATGTGTTTTTAGAAACCTTTCCTACACAGATTCAAGCAACAATAGTCTCATCGGTTGCGAGTGTGTTGGCAAGCCATCCTCCAGATGAGAAATATTTGGGGAAAGATATGGAGGCAGCATGGGCTGATGAACCTAACATAAACCAAGCATTCAATAAGTTCAGTGAAAAACTGAGAAAATTGGAAAAGATAATTGATGAAAGGAACGTGAATCCTGAACTGAAGAATAGACATGGAGCTGGGATTGAGCCTTACGAATTGTTGAAGCCACATTCAGAGCCAGGAGTGACTGGAAAAGGAGTTCCTTTTAGTATTTCTATTTAGAACCAACCTCTCAAAACAAAAATGGATGACCTCTTGAATATTTTATTAGAATGAATGTGAGTTAGAACAAAACCTGCTGGAATGATTCTTATTGGTTTGTGGGGATGTAAGAAAATGATGGAGCTATCCGACGTCGAATCCAAATTCTGAACCTTGGACATGGATGTTTACAAATGGTACTAGAGTGAAAGCATACGAGGAGAAAGTGACGACTATTCTTCCTTGATTTGTTGTTCCATGAATTTGTAGGAGTATTGTGTTTCCTCCGTTCACAAAGACCTATGAGAGATCATCGAAAACAAATAAAACATCATTTGAATCCCTCAAACTACCTTGGTGAACGCTTTCCTAATGGTGTGATTCACCGCTCTTTGAGATATATCAACTCTCTTCATCCACAAATGATGTTCGACATGGCCTGATCCATTCCCCTCTTGTTTGTCCTCAATGTATGTGTGTAAGTTTTTTTTTTTTTTTTTTTTTTTTTTTTTTTTTTTTTTTTTTTTNCTCTTTGAGATATATCAACTCTCTTCATCCACAAATGATGTTCGACATGGCCTGATCCATTCCCCTCTTGTTTGTCCTCAATGTATGTGTGTAAGTTTTTTTTTTTTTTTTTTTTTTTTTTTTTTTTGTCAAACACTCTATAAATTCTCGTACCGGCTCCAACTTGTTAAGAATGAGAAATAGGATTAGGATTAACGTGTGTATTCTCATTGATATTCGTAACTTTTAAATAGGATACGAACTACCGATTAATACTACGATGAGGAAAATACAAGCTACCAACTTTGTTTATGAGGTTTAAAAAAAGAGTTATTTCTAGTTAAGTTGGCCACTACTTTAATTTCCGAACTTTAAATTGGGTCATTTTCATTAATTATATACTTTTTTACCTTTTTTTTTTTTCTTCTTCCTTCTTCTGGTCCAATCATTTATTCATAAAATAATTAAATATTTTTCTAAAATACATATTATTTCATATAAATATTATCTCATATATTTATTAAATTTGATCAAATGTGTATTGCACTGGGGACGATATTTTGCCTTTTCTATATAAAAGGCCTCCAATTGCATAGCTAAACTCACACCCATACACATACATATATTAATCTCCCTACTGTTTGAAAGAAAAGGAGGAAAAGATGTTGAAATCTCAAGGCGTTGGGTGTTCTACACGATTGGCTCCGGCGACCCTCTGCCCTTTGCAGAGGCCATCATTGGGTCGTGGCATCAACGCCGGAGTTTCTTTTCCTTTTTGGAACAATTCCCAGAACAAGCAGAAGGCCAAGAGCATCAGCAATGGCCGCCCTAGACTCGTGTCCCGTGAAATCAAAGCAGCCTTGACCACTGTCGCCGAACCCACCACCACCGTCCTCACAAAAGTCATTGTCAAGAAGATCACTGGAGAAATCACTTCGTCCACACTTTTCATGGAAAGCAAGGCCCTCGATAAGTTGCTCAAACTCGAGTTCGCCAGCATCTTCGTCATCGTTTATGCATGATCTTTGTTCATTTTGAGTTCATATTTCAAAAGTAAATCAACGTTTATATTCTTTTGTAAAATTTTAGGAACTGGGTTGGAGAAGCGGCCGATTTCAGTTCAGGCGTGTTAAAAGATTACGTGTTTAGATTGCTGTATTTGATTTAAATCTTCCGATGGTTAGGAGTCGATTTGTATTTTATTTGATTTGATTTAGTTTTGATTTGATTAGATTTTATGTTTTGATTTGTTTACGGTTTGTTACCAGATTTTATGCCTATTTTTAGGTAGATTTTCTAGATATCTCTTTCTATTCTCCCTGTATATACAGAGCATTCTTGCTCTTCAAAATTCAATTATCTTATCTACCATTCAATAAATCCCTCTTTCACTAACAATTGGTATCAGAGCTATCTTCTTAAGGGATCTGTGAGATCAAAATGGGAGAATAAGTTTTTCAGCGGTTGCACCATCAGTCTTCGATGGAGACAATTATCAAATGTGGGCAGTTCGTATGGAGACTTATTTGGAGGCCTTGGATCTTTGGGAAGCAATAGAAGAGCATTACGAGGTCCCATTACGAGGTCCCTCCGCTTCCAGCAAATCCTATTGTAGCACAAATCAAATTACAGAAGGAAAAGAAGACAAGGAAATCAAAGGCAAAAGCTTGTCTATTTGCCGCTGTATCTGAAATGATCTTCATGCGAATAATGTCCCTTAAAACAGCAAAAGAAATCTGGGATTATCTCAAGTCCGAATATGAAGGAGATGAGAGGATTCGTGGAATGAAAGTCCTGAATTTGATCAGGGATTTCGAGTTGCAGAAGATGAAGGAGTCAGAGTCGGTAAAAGAGTACTCTGACAGACTTCTCAGCATCGCCAATAAGGTGAGATTGCTTGGTTCTGTATTAAATGATTCCAGGATCATTGAAAAGCTGCTGGTCACTCTTCCAGAGAAGTTTGAAGCCACCATTACTACTCTGGAGAACACCAAAGACTTGTCAAAGATTTCTCTTACAGAGCTCTTGAATGCTTTACAAGCGCAAAAGCAAAGGAGGTCTATGAGACAATAAAGGGTGATTAAAGGTGCCTTACTTGTTAAGCATCAAGACAGCCGCAGGTACAAAAACAACAAAAATTTCAAAAATCAATTGACGTATGGAGATTCATCTGCCAACTATCAAAAGACAAAAGGAGGAGGTTTAAAAAAATCCTATCCACCTTGTCGCCATTGTGAGAAGAAAGGTCATCCGCCATACAAGTGTTGGAGAAGACCTGACGCCTTCTGCTCCAAATGCAATCAACTTGGACATGAAGCTGTGATCTGCAAAGCCAAAGATCTGGTGAAAGAAGTAGATGCAGAGGTAGTTGATCAAGAAGAAGAAGAAGATCAATTGTTTGTGGCCACTTGTTTCTCAGGCAAAGAATCAAGCGAGAGTTGGTTGATTGACAGTGGGTGCACAAATCATATGACATATGACAAGGAGTTTTTTTAGGAATTAAGAGACACTAAAGTCAAGAGAGTGAGGATTGGCAACGGTGAACACTTGGAAGTCAAAGGAAAAGGCACAGTAGCTATAACAAGTTATGAAGGTACAAAATTTATTCCAGATGTTTTATTTGTACCTAAAATTGATCAAAATCTCTTAAGTGTTGGTCAGTTACTTGATGAAGGCTATAAAGTGTTGTTGGAGAATAAGCAGTGTTTGATCAAAGATGCTAGTGGCAAAGATTTGTTCAATGTCAAAATGAAAGGAAAAAGCTTTGCTCTAAATCCGATGGAGAAAGAGCAGATGGCCTTTATATCCAAAGCTAGTGCCACTGAGATTTGGCACAAAAGACTTGGGCACTTTCATCATCGAGGTTTGCTTCAGATGCAGTCAAAGAAGCTGGTAGAAGGACTCGCTGACATTAATGATGACATGCCTCCTTGCCGTGCTTGTAATTTTGGGAAGCAACATAGGCAACCCTTTCCTAAACAGGCATGGAGAGCCTCAAAAAAACTACAGCTGGTTCATACTGATCTTTGTGGTCCTCAACGAACACCATCATTAAATGGTAATCTTTATTACATTATTTTTATTGATGATCTAACAAGAATGTGTTGGATCTTCTTTATGAAGCAAAAGTCAGAGGTTGCGGGTGTATTTTGGAAATTCAAGGCCAGAGTCCAGAATGAAAGTGCATGCTTGATTCAAACTATAAGAACAGATAATGGCAAGGAGTCCACTTCAAAAACTTTTAACAGGTTTTGTGAAGAGGCTGGAATTGAACATCAGTTGACAGCACCATACACTCCTCAACAGAATGGCGTCAGTGAAAGGAGGAATAGATTCATAATGGAGATGACGAGATGCATGCTTCATGAGAAGGATCTTCCAAAACGTTTTTGGGGAGAAGCAGCAAACACTGCTGTGTACTTGCAAAATCGAATTTCAACAAAAGCTGTGACGAACCTGACACCATTTGAAGCTTGGTATGGTTACAAACCTTCTTTAAAGTTCCTTAAAGTATTTGGGTGTCTTTGCTTCACTTACATTCCACAGATCAAGCGTGATAAGCTTGACAAAAAGGCAGAAGCTGGCATATTTGTTGGGTATAGCACTATATCCAAAGCTTACAGAGTTTTTCAACCGCACACTAGTCAAGTTATTATGAGCCGAGATGTTCATTTTGCTGAAAATGAGCAATGGAATTGGGAAGAACTAACAAAGGTGAATCAGACTTCTAATGCACCAAACAATTTAACCTTTGGTAGCATGTTAGAAGAATCTGAAGATGAACGACAAGAAGAGTCTGAAGATGAACAACAAGATGATTTGGTTGATGATGCACCTGTGAGAGGTACAAGGTTACTGTCTGATATTTATCAAAGGTGTAATGTAGCTATTTGTGAGCCTGCAGGGTTCCATGATGCAAAAAACAGCCTACATTGGATGGCTGCAATGCAGGAGGAGCTTTCGATGATCGAGAAAAATAAAACATGGAAGTTGGTTGATCGACCTCTAAACAGAAAGATAATTGGAGTAAGATGGGTATTCAGAACAAAGCTAAATCCTGATGATTCAGTTAACAAATACAAAGCAAGACTTGTTGTGAAGGGATATGCACAAGTTTTTGGAGTTGACTATTCAGAAACATTTGCACCTGTTGCCAGGCTTGATACAGTAAGATTGTTGCTTGCTCTTGCTGCTCAAAAGAGTTGGAAAGTATTCCAGTTAGATGTTAAATCTGCATTCTTAAATGGAGTCTTGCAAGAAGAAATTTTTGTTGAGCAACCTAAAGGTTTTGTGAGCAGAGGCAATGAAGATAAAGTCTACTTGCTGAGAAGGGCTTTATACGGTCTTAAACAGGCTCCGCGAGCATGGTACAGTAAAATTGATGATCATTTGGTTGGTCTTGGCTTTCAGAAAAGTCAATCTGAACTCACACTGTATGTCAAGCATGAAGGTACAAATACTTTAGTCATTTCTTTTTATGTAGATGACTTATTAATTACAGGAAGCAATCCTAAGCAAATTAACAAGTTCAAACTGGAAATGAAAAAGATATTCGAAATGACAGACCTTGGTCTGATGTCATATTTCCTTGGCATTGAGATCAAGCAAACCCAAGATGAAGTGTTCATTTGTCAAAAAAGGTATGCAAAGGAGATACTAAAAAAATTTCAGATGGAGGATTGCAAAGCAATGAATACTCCTATGAATCAAAAGGAGAAGCTGGTCAAAGATGATGGTTCTGCCAAAGTTATTGAAGCTGAGTTCCGGAGCTTGGTAGGGTGCCTGATGTACTTAACAACAACCAGACCTGATATCGTAAATGCTGTAAGTATTCTCTCCAGATTTATGCATTGTCCCAATGAGACTCACATGAAAGCTGCAAAGAGAGTTATCAGATACATCAAGGGGACAAGGAAATGAAGCTAATTGGTTTCTCTGACAGTGATTGGGGTG